GCGGGAGTTGCGTTTCTCTTAATGAAGTTATAGCGGCCAGCGTTCTGCATTAAGCTGTTTTTTTGAATAATTACGCTTAATGTGGCGATTTGAGGTAGATCATTACCGTAAGTAATATGCTAATGAATTTACATGGACACATACGACGTAAGTTCGGGTCGTATATAAACTTAGCCCTCATTGCAAATATGAACGAAGATGAGGGCAAAAATACATGGGATTGGCAGCCTCCGAGCTCTTGAACATAATAATTACATGAACTTTTTTTGGGCTTAACCTTTGGTCCATTAAGAATATATGCAACCCAGTATCTTTTTGTAAAACTGCATCCATTTTCGCTCAAGAAGGCATGTACATTTACGAAGGTCGACTAGCATTTTTTACGGATTTTGTTTTTTTTTTCCCACGACAGTCTTATCTGCAGTTTTACGTCACTGTGGCATGTGTTTTTCATGTTGATAGAAATGATGTTTTTTGCTCATCGCACGTTTAGGGAGCTGACTTCGTAGCGTTCTTACTTTCAATGGCCTCTACTGGAGGAGATGTTGAGGAGTGGAATGCTTCTTGTACAGCTTAGCCTTACTTGGACATCGCGCTCAACTAGTGTGGATTATGCCAGCTTTACTATTTAGGTATTTATTGAGAAGCTCGAGCAAAGTTTTCCGCTTATGCATTGCTGATTTCTTCTTGAAACTTAACATTAGAGAACAACGATTCTGAAAGCTAAGTAAATAAATAAATAAATATATATAACATTTATACCAGCTTTTCTCACCTTTAACACTGAACATATTTTGCCACTTTCTTTCTTCACAACCGAGCCAGAGAGAAACGTCACATCGCAATATCGATTAAGCATAAAGTTTGTTCGCGTGCAAGCAATATTTTCCCACTCTTCTGCGGAATTTCACTTGGTATTCAGGTAGGTTTAAATATTAGCTTAATATATGTTTCCTTTCCCTCAAATATATTTCGTTTTCATGCTAACCTGCTCTCCCTAGTTTTCGTGTCTTTTCCTTTATAGGTGTAAGCTGATGTTGCCACATCAACTGCTGATTGCTCTAGTATCCCATCGACAAAGTGAATGTCCATAAATTCCTCGTTGCCTTAGAAGCAGACAGCGTCATCGCGCCGCCGTATCCGTGTGACGATGTTTTCGCGATTATTCTCGCGGAAATATCGAGCGCGAGCGTGTTGTTTGTCTCATCTTGTTGCATAGATCACCTTTATCGCACAAAGATCTGTCCCGCACAATTGCTTTGCTCCGTCCGCAATTCCATGTCTCACCTAGCTCATAAACTTCATATCAGCTAATCTCCATTAATCTATTAAGGTTTCCTTTTTTGTCGTTACTCTTGCTTTATACTTTTACTAATAAGTTCTACCCTATCTCTTTTCTGTCATAGAGGTAGGGGTCTTTAATCATCAGTGCTACTCTAATTGTTCACCAAATTAATGCAGCATACGAAAATATCTATTCGGTCAATTGCATTGTATTTTACAGCAATTGGCACGCAAGATTAGTCATTTGAAAATAAGGGGAAGTGTTGTTCCCATTGTTAATTATTCATGGTTCATTAAATAAGCTTGAGTAAGGTGTATGCTGATGAATCGGAACTTTCCCAGTGAAGTATGCTCATCTCTCCTAGTGACACGGTTACTTAAATCTGTGTGTGCAACAAAAGGCTTCGCTTTATTAGCTGAAGGACAAAAATGGCTGAGAGGATGGCTTTTTGGAAATCTGCATCATATAACCGACTGGTTAAGCCATATACGAACGATGAGTCACACTCACTTTATCTATGGTTTTTAGGAGTGAAGTAGTCTTCATATGAAGAAAAACATGCTATCCTCATACATGGTAACTTGCGTTATCTATTCAGTTTCTTAGCTTCTATATCAATGATTTCAAGAAATTTTCTAGACTTTTTTGTAAATTCTTCTACAAATGATTGCCTCTACAAACTTCGCATTTAATTTTCATAATTCAACTGGATTATTCCTTGAACTTTCGGTTCTCTCTTCTAAAGGTCTTTTATAGTTCATATCGTTGTTCATTTATCGTCTAAGTGCCTGATAACTTTGAAGAAATGATTAACTCATTTAAAAGGCAACTCACACCTTTTGTGCCGTAACTTCATCTCATAAAGGTTTCTCTATTTACCATTCATCTCACCTGGAAACCTAAATGTTAAAGTCATTCAACTTTAGGTCATATTCTGAACCAGTCCGTCTTCCACTCAGTGCCTCATTCATCGTTTTTGGTATCTCGCCATTTTGAACTCTGATCTCGTTTTGTCCTTTCGTTCTTTCGATGTGATTTTGCGTGTTTAACTACTACCAGTTGCCCTCGTAAAAATCAATTTCGTGCTGTTCTTTTAGTACAAGTGGTGATATCTGTTGCAGAAATCTTTTTTAGATCGCAGTGTTACTTTTGTTCATTTCTAATGTCACCAGTGCCTCTTTTTCCCACTTTTATTATTTTACTGCAGTGTACTCAATAGCAAACATTCAGGATCTGGAAACGGTGCACTAGTGAAACTGCTTGTGCCAAGAAGACTAGTAAGCATGAATACGGTTCCAGGCCCAGGTGGAGCGGCTAACCTTTTCAGTGGTCTTTCTGCTCAAGTATGCTTCATCGTTTTCTAGAAATTTTTCTACCTATTTTCCTTTTTTGGTCTTCAAATGTAGTTTTTTAACCTTTCTTTTTGCTTCACGTTTCTTTATCAGGTGTTCGATACCTAGGGCAATTACCCAAGGGATATGTATGATCCGAGCAGTGTGGTAGGCGCTGTCTATGTCTTGCGAGCTGCTAGCGCGATTCGCATGCATATTGATTTGCACCAAAGGGCGAGGGCTCTACGCGCCGCGTCTTCGCGATGCTGCGGACATACATCTTCCAGGGGCCATTATCCGAGGAACAAATCATAAATTTGTGCGTGGTATGCCTAATCTATCGAGCGCATGAGTGTTGATGACACTTTAACTTTTATATAAGAAGATTTTAAAGAACTTTAAAGGTCTGTCAAATATTTGCGCAGTACTGATGCGTGTTTCCACATAATTAGCACCGCATGCAAGTTTTTGCGTAGTCATCAGCATAATAATTTTCTCTTTTTTGAGAACTGTCTGAGTCGCTTCTTATCAAAATGTGCAGCAGTTGGCCGTATTGTCTGGAATAGGGGGTCATCAGCATACCAGTGCAAATTTTCTTAATTCTTTTGAGAATTGTAGACTCGCCTTTAATGTAACTGTTCAGCAGCTGGCCGCATTGTCTGGAGTGCTTGGAGGGCAGAGTACGTTCAGTCAGGCTCAATTAGCTGCTCTTACGAATAGCAGTGAGTGCACAGTTTTCAAATAAATTGTCATTTGACATTTTCTAAAACCAACTATTTGGTTGCGTATGTTAAACGTTGCTGGTTTCTTCGACATCTCCTCATGTAATAAGTTTCTTTTTGAAAAAGCCTCAATTAGCCTAACGAATGATGCGCGGTGTGGGTTGTTCTGTTATCTGTAACGCAATTTCAATGATGTTCATGAGAAATCTCTGGTATCACGGTTTTGGAAAGACAAAAATTAGTCAGTGAGAAAGGGTTGGGCAAAGTAGCGTAAAATATACGTGATTTAGGTTTTTTGCACGGGACTGTTAAAAAGTATTGGCTTACTGGGTGCACTACTTCTATTGTCCAACTTTTAGTTCAATTTTAAGGCTTATCAGCGCAGCTCAACAACGTGTTAGCTTCCGTAGCTCAACAACAACCTGTTGCCCCTGTACAAAATGCTACTCCATTGGCGGTTGAGAACAAGGTGGTACCATAATTTTTTTAAAACCCTCAACATTCTTCTTAGCTTTTCATTTGTTTAGACTGGAGCAACCAATGGGGTCAGCACAGCCGTGCCAGACCTTTCACTAACCTCACTCCCTTGGCCCGTGGTCTCACCAATCATGAATGTGCCACATTTTGATTTGGCCACTTATCGTTTGGTTAATCTCGATGTTGCTCCAAGCAGAGATGTAAATGGGTTCGACCTGCCTCTTGCAGATGTTACTACTCTACGGTAAGCTCTATCGTGCATAATTTTAGTCGCCTATTCTGATCAGCTCAATTCTGTTTTGAACTAATGGACATGTAGAATTATTCTTCAGCTTCTTTTTCAACTTGGGAGTGCAGCATTCGCGTTCCTTAGCAGCAACGCAGCTCTATCAGGAGAAGTTAGCACATGTAGCGGTATCTTCAGCATCAGCATCTGTTGCACAACCTACACAAACCAGTCTGCCCCACGGTACCCAATTAGGCGGGGTTAATATCGTGAGTACAGCTTTTAGTCGTATTTCTGTGAAATCTGTTATTTGGAACCCATAAGAAATGTCGAGTACTTAAACAGTTATCTTTTTGGTTACGGAAAGTTTACTCACGCCCTATCGCTTAGATTTTGTTCAATAATACTTCTGTAGTTCTCCTGAAATAAATTTTAACTTCGTATCCTTACACGAATACATTAAAGAGTTGAAACAGAGGTGAGAAGGTGAAAGTGTTGTTTTTCGTCACTTTTTAATTTATGAGTTGACAATTCCCATAACTCTCTAGTTTTCAAGAACCATTTGCTGAAACTACTTAATGCCTTCCTCTAAAACGCCCTTTCAGTTATCTGAAGCGCAGATTGGAGGGCCGAGAACAACTATGGATCAGTACATAAATCAGCTTGGAATCGGTAGTCCGCAAGCCCAAGCACTGCTTCGGTAATTCTTTTATATGTCGGTCTTGTC